TCTATTTATTTAACTGGGTTTTTTAAACTAGTTTGAGAGCATACTGTTCTTGTAATAGAAAAAAAAAAACCCAATACTATATATATTTATATATATTTATTTTAAAAAATCACTTATAAACATTTTGGTAGTATTCTACCTGTAATACGAGTAAGTTCTCCAGCTCTCACCAATTACAAGCAACATCCTTGTTAATGCACAGTTTTTCTTTCAGGTGTGAGAGGGGAAATTCCTTTGGTGCTCAGATGAATTTACTTGCATTGTGTATTTYTATTACATTTCCCCTGGGCTCGGCCTGGGGAGGTGGGGGGCACTGAAATGTGTCAGGGATGTTTTCCACAGGAAGGGCATGCGTGCAAGACTTGTTTTGAAAATATGCCTTTGCTTTCCGCTTGTCTGATCATGACTCTACACGCAGCATCATACAACCCCATAAGGCTGTAATGGGCCAAATCATCCTAATCCAATGTGGCATTCCGTATGTCTTCCACTGCAAGTAGGTCAAGTTTAAGCCATGTTCCTGGTTTCTGCTCCTATTTCCCATAACCTGCTCCACGTGGCTCGAGTATTGTGCTATAGTACAGAGCATGCCAGCAGGGATTCTGAGCAGCCTCACAGGGATAGTCAGTTTTTGGACAGGAGCTAGTGTTTTTGTTCTGCTCTGATCTCGTGATGTTGGATTTGTGGCAGGAGAAAACTTCAGTGGTCTAAATGTGTGCTTTTACTGAGTCTTAGGCTGTTAGTTTACCTAATGAGTTGCCTCTGGACACTGCGCTATAAAATTTTAAAATCAGTAATACCCTTGAGTGGGAAATTGGTTTGCAGATTTTTGAAGTGTACTGTATTCTGAGAATACAAAATAAAATTGGACAGAGGTTGATGGTCTGTGGAAAAACAAATAGTGACCTAAAGCGTACTTCAGGCTGGAGGTGTGAATATTTTGATGTTAGAGATTACAATATGCAGAACTCTTCTTGATRATGATTACAGCATCAGTGTGCATTTTGTTCCAGTTGTGCTGGAAGAGTTGTGGKTGCAGAGGTGTGTTAGCACTCACAGAAGTCACCTCCAGTCAGTGCTGTGAATCAGCTGTTTGGATCCAAAACAAAGCCCAGCTGCAGGACACTAAAATCAGCAGTAGTGCTTGCTGATGGCTTTGGTCTTCATACAGGCTTAAGTCTTTGTTGAATTGGGGCTGATTGATGTGGCAGCATGCTCAGGAAGGGTGCAGTTGGTGCTGGAAGTTGTCCCTGACTAGACAATGGTAGSTCAGTGTCAGGGCTACCTAACTGGAACCATATTTCATTTTCTAAACCAATAATTTTACTTACTTCAGATGAAGCTGTGGACTTGCAAGGAAATTGGAAAGGGCTTGGTAAATTAATACTGGCTGGGCATGCCACTATGTGGCTAATTACCAAGGTAAGGCTTCATAGAACTACCAAAATCTTCATGCTGGTGATGCTTTTACAGATCATCAAAGAGCAGAAGAGGTCACTGAAGGTGAATGTAATGGTTGGGTTTGTAGACTGCTTCTCATGCTATGTGCAAATTGTCATCATCTTTAGTATTAGAGCCAGTAATGGTTCTTCTTTTATGTGTTCTTGGCCCAGGAAAATGATGGGCTCTCCTGAACAAAATAAGAATCTCTAGTGAATCTTTTTCTTATCTGTCAGGAGCCTGATGCATCTTTGAGCTAGGGTGCTTTACTCTACATTAGTCCAAGTATTCTGMTGACACAGCAGCCTCTCAGAAAGGTCAGATTTCCTTTTCTGCTCTGTAGTGTTCCATCTGAGTACAACAGGTCAGCTCTGCCTGCTGCTCATTATCTGAAGGAAGATAATGTACAGAAGTGTAGGGCCATGTAACCTTAGCTGTGGCATGTTGGCCTGCAGCTGCTTTCATGAATCTGGGAGGTTCCATAGGTGGCAYCTTGGTCTTGTTTCTAAAAGGTTATTTCAGAGCTCAAGAAGGGAGTSCTTAATTTTGCCCCAAAAGTTTATTCTGACTTGTTGTCTCTTGTGTTCATTACCTTGAATGCTAAGCCGAGAGAAAGTGTCCTCCCAAAAAAAGCTAGAGAAATCTCGTCTTCTCAATATTTGTCTCTTGGTAGTTTAAAGTCCTTTTGGATTACAGCTTGGAGAAATTGTTGGTTTTGCAGTTCTTAAAACACATCAGGTCTTCCAGTTTTAAGAAATGCTTGAGATCCTTGAGTAAATGTTACAGCACATCTTAATTCAAGTTTCAGAAGTATCAAGTTTGTCCAGTTTTGGCTAGATTTCCATGCACTCTATAAAAACGGAATATACAGTGAATGTTTTGCTGCAAGGAAAGCAAATGTGATTGTATATCTTGTGTGGAAAACTCTAAAGTTTATCAAGATTTTTACAGTACAATGAACACATGAGGGGAGAGGTTTTTTAGGAACTTCATTATGAACAAATGTTCAAGCTGGTTTGTGTTCATGTAAATTGAAATACATTCCTAAAGCCCACCTTGTCATCTTGCTGCTGTCGTAGTTAATGTCCCTTCTTTGCTCAGGGAGGCTCTTCACTGAGCTGCTTGATACCACATTGACTGTTCCATTGTAATGCCAAAACTTCTTTTRTGCTTCTCTATTTGTTAAACTTAACTCCCAGGAAAGAAACTATATATTCTTCCTGGCAAACTTTCCTGAGGGATGAAGATATTTGTATTGCAAAACCAAGTCCCCGACTCCCTACTCGTATTAGGAGGTGGTAAGGTGATCAGTGAAACAATCTGTTCTGCAGTGCCAACATGCTCTTCTGTGAACTTAGGTTCAAAATATTTCAACCCTATAAGCATGCCCCTACTCTGATTTTCAGTTAAGTAGTGTTATCTAATATTTAAACCACATGCATGAGCCTCAAAACTCTTAGGAGACTGGTTAGTATCAAAACAAAGGCAAAACCTCCACAGAGGCATTTTTTGAGATCTGGAAAGTATTTTGGTGGAGGAGGGGATGGTGCAGCTGAAGGACATCGGTAATTGCAGGTACAGGAGTTCTCTTTAGGCCATTAGCACTATTCACTGCAGTGGGTTTGCTGCTTGTTTGTTAATATTGGAATTGAAATACATAATACCCTGTTCTGAGATTGTGGTTTGGTTTTTAAATCTGAACCTGTAGACTGGATCACCATTATGCAGCTCCTACCTTTGGCTTTTCATTGCCCGTACTGAAAATATTTGTTTAAGGATGCCTCTGTCTGCTCCCCAACAAGAAGAATATTCATAATCTGGAAAACTCTTAAATACAATGCAGTTTATTCAGTCCTGTGTTACAGAACACACTTGAGGGATATGGAAAAGTAATTTCTCTGCTTTCTGCTGTTTTATGTTTACACAGCATTGGTGCACATGCAGCATTAAAATAATTTGCTGAGCTGTGGGATAGAAGGTCCTGGAAAACTGCCTCTTTGAAGTAGCACGTTTTAATGGTTTAATTTTTAGGAAGAGTCACCTGGACACTCATTTAAAAACTTCTTGAATTAATGGGTGTTTCTCACAGGCTCAGAAATCGGACCTGAATTTCCAGGAAATAAGTTCATTATTAGGAAGCAAGTCTTGCATTTCCTTGAGTTTCAAGRAGAAGGTTGAACATGTGAAAAAGCCAGCATATACCTCCTGATGAAGTGCTGTGTGCAGAATCCCCTGTGATCAACTGGGTTACACTCAAAGTCACTGGTAGAAATCTAGATTCTTAATAGTCATTTGGTCATTTTGTAGAAGCTGTTGGAGTAAAGACTTGGATTATTTTCAGCAATTTGGGATTAATTGCCCTTCTTCCCGAGCTTTGTTTGATTGCTGATTKTGAAATCTTGAGGATCCTGAAAGATAAATTGTGTGCTGTTCTTGGTTTGATCAAGAAATCTGTCAACACGGGTTCTGAAAATTTATTTTGCCGGACAATTTGGTTCACATTGCTTCAGTTTCCTTGACTCCTAATAAAGTAATGATTCATAGTGTCAAGGTACCTCACTCCAGGTAAACATGAGACTTCAGTAAAAGTAAAAATCAGAAAAAAAAAAGGACAATGTAGTTTTTGGTTGAAAATTGAATATTTGATATCTTGTGCTTGAATCCAAGCATCAGATGGTTAATGGCTTATTCTTAAATAATTTGAGATGAGATTTTGGGGTGGTTTCTTGTCTTTCAGCAGCAGTCCAGTGAGCTCTTGGCATTTCAGAGCAATGGTTCTTGGGTGTATTTTCAGCCTTTGTAAAGCATGGGAAGGTTCATGAAAAGACTGCCTTGTTATGAAATGCAGTTTTCATACTCGTACTGATGTATTGATTTCTGAAACTTGTGGTAACATTTGAAACTGTTTCAGTATTTTATCTGATTTCAAGTAATCTAACAGCTRTTTAATTTTTCTTTCACTTTTCATTTCTTTTAGCTGGGATGTGAGAGCAAACATAAGAAGAACTGTTGCAACTTGATTTTTCTCCTGGTTTTGGAAAAACCTAATTTGTGTTTAACTTGTAACTGTGATTTAATGGGAAAACTGTTCATTGGCCACAGATGACTACTACTAAGAGGCTTTCTGAAATCTGTTTTGGATTCAGAGAGGTAGTAAAAAAAGTGTTATGGTGACACCAGTTCCATTTGAGGTTGCTTTTGTCCTAAACAATAATGGRTTTGTTTGGCACTGAGTGCTGCAGTTACACAAAACAAGTGCTCAGTCATCATAGGTCACATGTTCTTTATATGTATTAAACAAAGATGAAAAARAGCCAATAATTCAGATTTTTTTTTTTGTCAAAGCTTTTAACTTTTCCATTTTTTTCAACGATCACTGCTCTCTAAGAAAAAGGGACATGGAAATGCACTGTACAGTGCACRTGTTCTACTTCCCACCAGAAGCTGACGAATCCAGAGTGCAAAACGCAATGGGAGCCCTACTCCAGTGAGACCCAGGCGTGTACTTAAAACAGGAAATGGTTATTGGAACTAAATTATTTTGCCATTTTTATTTTTAGGTTTGCTGGCATGGGTAATCTCATTAAGGTGCTAACCAGGGACATAGACCACAATGCAGCACATTTTTTCTTGGATTTTGAAAGTAAGTCTCTCAGCCCTTCACAAGCTGGTGCGTTTCAAATGGTAACAGTAGGGTTGCTTATACCTGCTGCAGTGAAGGCTAGGGGACTCAATTGCAAAGTTGGAATTTGAAAGAGTTGCATGTGTTTTTTCTGTTCCTCTTTTTTTTTTTAATGTTTTTGTTTTTTTCCTCTAGTAGTAGCCAAGCCACCATCATGCTGCTGTGTAAATTTTGTTTCCATGTGCTTAGTCATTTGGGTCTCTGTGGTCAGTGATGTCCATCCATCTGCCTGCAAATCAAGTAATCATGAATTGAAAAATTCTGTCAGTATGCCATAGTAATCTGTGCTGAGCAGTTGTTCACTGTAATCCTCTTGTACACGAGTGAGTGCTGAATCATTCCTGATCCTGCTTTGGTCATTCATCGTGCAGTTAATGTGTGTTTTTTTACATCCAAAAATGCAAAATGAAACTGTCTGAGTTTCACACATATTTTAGGCACCTTGTATAAAAGATCTGTGGCAAACATCTGTTAGCATTTTCTGCACACTGAAATGATGTGTCTTGATGTGGTTTTCTGTGATGGCCTTCTGACACAATTATAAGGGCTGACAAAATTAAAGCTCTTTCTTTCTGTTGTCCCATCAGGTTAAAATCTAGCATGGCTAATGCTTTCAAATCTGGTACTTGGCCCTCAAGGCAGTACTCCTGCTCAGGACACTGGTGCTAGGGTGTACTGGGACAGAATAGTCACTGGTTGGATTCTGTCCCTTTCCCAAAGGGGCAGCTGTGAGGATGTTGGTGACACGGTCACTTCTTACAGGAAAGCTGCATTTCTGGGGTCACCAGCTGTGCATCCTCAAGGTGGGGATCTCCCTTCACCCAGCCTGAAGGACGGGTCCGTACCTGATGGAACTCTCTGGTCTTCTTTTCCCACTGCTTCAATCAACTATATTTGGGCTGTTCTTACTTATAAAAAGAAAATTTTCTTTTCTCTCATTCTTGTCTTGGCAGGTACCTTAACATGGGGAACCTTCTAAAAGTTTTGACATGCACAGACCTTGAGCAGGGGCCAAATTTTTTCCTTGATTTTGAAAGTGAGAAGATGATTTTATATATCTATTACTCTTTGCCTGCAGTAGACTGCATTTGTCATGTACTAAATGTATGTTTTCATTTTGCCATCCTTCTAACTGCTTTGCATGCTGAGCTATGGATAATTGTTCAGTGAGCTTTGGTAGAAAGTAATAACCTGTTCTAAAATATCCTTAGGTCCTAAAATGTAAARTGTTTATTTCAGAAAGGGCTTTCAAATTACATTTGACTGTTGAAACCGATGGAGTTTTTGTTTTTTAAACTGAAATTCTGCTTACTTTTAATAAAAAAAGTTAAAAATAGTTGTAATTATTTGAAGATTTAGTGAAATTGCRTGGGGATACATGCTCCTTAAAGGAAGGACTGAAAATGAAACCCGATTCTTGTCACTTCTGTTCACTTAATATTGGGAGTGACTTAATACATCCAGTAACTTAATAATACTGCATAAACAGATTGGCTCATAACAGCTATTCATAGCTCCAGCATCATCACTTTAAAGGTGTATATGTGAACCTTACTGGATCTGGCACTGAAATTTAACCTCATGCCTTCTTAAAAGGGGGCTCAGTGTGTGTAGAGATGAAATTGATTTTGAAATGAAGGATATGTAGCTTCTCTGATCAATGCCAAGTGTTCTAGAAGGTTCACATATTCAGCAGTATTTCTGCTTTTGGATTTTATTGCATGATACAGTATAGCCTAAGAATGGCAGGTAAGTGTTGCTGGCTTCTGCTGTGCATGTTTAATTACTTTGTTTTGGCACGTGCTTTACCCAGCTGTACATCAGCTAGCATAAAATAAGAAAATTAATGTTCAAGTACACTTTGACCGTGTAATAGAATACAATGGAATAGCATAATAAAAAAATGATGAAGGATTATTATATGGATAGTTTGAGGTGCATTATATAATCTTTTCTTTCCCTGAATTGTTTTTCAGTTGTTTGATGAAACATTAGTATTTGTGTATATTAGTTATAATATGAAGACAAATGCTTGAAGAAATATGGTTTTGCTTCAATTACATTTAAAATTACACCTTCTCTAAACCCTTACCCTGTAGTGTTTTTATCACTTGTCTCTTCTGAATGTGTTATTATTGGAAGAGGCTAGCCATACAAATTTTTCATAAAGGGAAGATTATAAAAGGCTGTGTTCAAAAATCAGAAAACAAAATTTGTCTGAGACTAAATCTTGCATATCATCAGAATAGGTAAAATTTAGTGAAATCGGAGAGCTCACGTGTGAGACTGTTGGAGTGGTGAAGCTCCAGCTTAATCTGCAAATATCGAAAATTTAATTGGAATAAATGGAATGCAAGTTAGCTGGATAGAAGAGCTATAGTTCTAGAATGAATTGCAATAAAAATTGTTGGTTTTTTTTCTTTTTAAATACRGATTCTTTAGCTATCAGTTGTGTTTTAAAATGCATGTTTTGAGCATGAACAGGATTTGGCATGAGAGTAAGCAGGTTGCTGACATGAAATGCTTACATAKGCAGTCAAATTAAGTGACTTATATTATGGCTGAATTGTTAGACTGTTCTTTGTTCATTTTGGACCCTGTTCTGCATTTGTTTCTGCTGCTATACTGTGTATCCATGCTTCTTTCTCCTCTGTTTCAGATAGCTTGCCTTGACAGGATCTTGGCTTTGACACAGCCAAGATCTTTCTTCAAGACTTGGCACTTAATCTTGTGATACTTAATGTTGTGGTTTTGTGTGGAAGGACAAGTAAGCTCTGTATTAAAAACAAATTTGCCAGTTCTGTGTTATGCCTGGCCCAATAATAGGCAGTTTGAAGTCTTTTGTTCCTAGATCCATGTATGTCTTTAGAGTGAGCAGGCCCCAACAGTCCTTGCWTAGTACCATAAAGAGCTAAAAACTAATGTTCAAAAAGCTTTGTAGTGCTAGAAACTTCAAATTTAGAAAGGTTTTAGACTGGTTTCCAACCATTATTTTTCCCCTAGATAGTGTTTTTGGTGCTAGATGCCAGTGATTGGTGTGACCATCAGAATCCATTCAGAAAAATTATATGATGAGCTGTTGTCTTTTCCTTGCTTCAACACTGGTTAAGATTATTCTTCTTTGGTATCTACCTTACCTATTTGAAATGAATCGTTGTGTTGAGCATTCTTCTAAAGTCTGTGCAGCTCATTAGAACATGAACAAAGTGCACAGGGCAATATTGTTTACATAAAACAGCCACCTCAAATGTGGGAAACTTACAGCTCAACTTTTACATTGGTGTCATTATTGTCACAGTTGCAAATCCTTTCAAATTTAATTACTTGAATAGTAGCTAAAATACAGTGTACTTAGAGATGGTGATCTCAAGCTAGTGCTGACAGTATTCTGCATTATCTCCAAAGAACTTGGCCAGGTTTCAGAGGAGCCACAGAGACAGCATTCTCCATAGTAATGCCAACCAAGATGAATAAATTATTTCATCTCCAGCAGTYTGGCTTTTTCTCCCTTGTTTGTGAGTTTTGTCCCAGACAGTTTCAGATGACTTGATGTGTTCTTCCCTGGGAAAAATCTCAGTTTAAATAGTTTGCTGTTCAGTGTAAACTTTTAACCCCAAATTTCTCTCCCTACTAGTTTTGTAGGCTAGCCAAATATTGTTTTAATAGTCACTAAATGTGTGTGTTCCCTGCATGCAATATGTTGTCTCAYTTTTGTAGTATTTAGTTCACATGGCAGCATTTGTATATTGTTTCAAGTCTCCTCTTCTGTCTCTAATACATTAYTGTGTGAGCATTCTGAACTCTAAATGTATATTGCATCTAGTGCAGTTACATTCTGATTAGAATTATTTTGAAGATTAACTCCCCATTTGGTTGCAACACTTCGATCTTCCTTTTCCTCACTATTGGATTAAAAATAGTAGAGTTGCCCTGAATAACCAGGCAACAGTGTCAAAAATCAGAACACCTCAGTGAGCTGTGCTGTGCTTGCTGGGTTTGTTCTTTCTATGAAAGGTATTGCTGATAAAGGCCCAGCCTTGTTCTAACAAGCAGGAGCTTAAATGGACAGGATAAAAGGGAAATCCATGAACTTGTGTATCTCTTTCATTTTCCTGTTTGGATGCCAGCATTCCTGGCTGCTTTWTCTTAGTTGTCAAGAGCAACTCCAGAAGTGCAGCTCCCTTTCCTTCACTGTGCTCTCCACATTGAGGAAAAGGAGTTCCACAATTAATAATTCTCAAGTCCTGTAGCTTGAGTCCTCAGGTACATATTTAGGAATGCTATTCCCATAATACGGGAATGCTGCCTCCATCTATTCAAGAAGATAACAGTGCTTAGGAAGAGGATTCTCCCTCTTTCTTCCCTGTGATGGGGTTTTCAGAATACAGTGCCCTGACTGGGAAGCAAATAAACCARTTGTTCTGGGTCAGCCAGCATTAGACCCTGAAGATTTTTTTATATCATGCCTTTTAACCCTATCCTAGTACCATCTTAATGTTTTGTGAACAGACTATAAAATAATTTTAAGTTTGCTTTTTAAATCTGAGCTCTGTTTTAGGGATAGCAGAGGAAATGAGTTGGGACAAATCAGRTTTACAGATTTCTTTTACTGGAGAGGACTAGGTTGACCAGAAATGAAATATATGCCAAAAGAAATAACTCAGTACCTACTTGGTTCTAAAACAGACTGCTATTTAGAAGTTTGTAATAATCCAAACAAACAAGCAAACAAAAAACCCCCACTATCCCAACAAATTAAGTATCAACCATTGGTTTACGTTTCCTGGAACATTTTAGAGAAATGATTACATCCTGTGCTGAGAGGTGATGATGGTGTTGATTTGCCTGGCCAGCTGTCCAGTAAAGAACACTAAATTTGTATCTGGAAGATGATTTTCTTTTTTAAATATGGAGGGTCATAGTAGTACAGCTGTACTGATTGTTGGTGGGTTTTGAAATGAGAAGCAGGAGTTCTTGTGGCTTCTTCTGCTCTGCCCCTCCCAACATTGAAAATGAACTCTCCTTACTGCATAAGGTAAAGAAAAAAATGGCATGAAAAATTAAATAGGCAGGAGATGTTMTCAGTGTGAGATGATCCAAGTGACAAGTCTTGATTGCATTATTTAACAACACAATCTGGAATGCTACAGAGCTTCACGTTTTAGTCTCTGTTTCACTATAGCATTTCATGTTCGTGCATGAACTGCTGCCAGTCAACTGTTGCTTCCCTGTCTGCTCTTTTCCCTCATTTTTTGTCTTCATTTCTTACAGCAGTCTTCAGCAGCTTTCAAAATTATGTGACCTTTGTGGTGATCTGAAAAGCACTGGCCACTTTTACTYGATGCCTAATCAATGTGGTGCTCTTTCATTTATTTATTTTCAAAGGAGTGACCAGGTTTTTTTTAACCTGTGCTAATTCTTGATGTATCTCAAAATATGAGTTAAACTGTTGCAAGGTCTATATATAGGCATATTTGCTAGTAATGCCCATTCTTTATGCATTAAGCCATAACAATAAGAAGTATGCAMAATTTACAGCAAAATCCAGATAGGCAATGCATGTGAAATTTATTTTCTCCTAATATAAACTTTGTTTTCTCTTTTGTTTTTCTAGTGTGTAACTTTAGAATACTGTGGGASTTTTATTTCAAATGTAAAGATGTACCTAACTTCCATGGGAAGTTGTGCATATGGATCATGGAAAAAGCATTTCTAAAAATACATTTTCCAGACTCTTCAAACTGCACAAAGTCATGAGGATATATTGTCCTTAGATGGCTTTTGTTTGTCCCTATAAAAAAGAATCTATTGTTAATACCCTGATGTTTGGCATTGGAAATAGTGGATTAAATACAATTATATTTATTCCAAAGCATATTTTGCCCATGTTAACAGAGAATTGAGTTTTTTTAAAAAGAGCTTCAGTAACAATTATTTTTTTAATATGATTCTAAAAGGAACCAACCTTACAGGTTCCATCAGAATTTTAAAAGAAAAAATTACTATGTTTTGGGTAAACCACGTTTGAGATACTTGTACTAGGTGTTTTTAAAAGTTGATTCATCTCAAAACTTACTTCTTACAGAATCACATTTTTTTTAAGTGTGCTTGTAGCTTTTTGAAATTATGATCCCATATACTTTAGGGAAGTCCTTAGCTAATTATAGAAAAAATGGGAGACAGGTTAAATATTTCAAGATAGGGTACAAAAAAAAGCCTTACACGAGCTCACACTAGATCTTTTTGTTCTCAGCTCTGATTGCAATGAGTGCAATAAAGAATATGTTTAGAGAATTAGATACATTTAGAAGTAAAAGATACAGCTCCTTCTCAACCAGTWAAAGACGAGGCAGAAAAGTTGGAAAATAATCTGATGCAGTATTTCTAGATAACAGACATGGACACCTCCTGTGTTGTCTGCAGTGATGTGTCTTTTGAGTGTTTACCTATGTTTCTTCCTGTGAGCCTCTACTTCACCCCAAGCTGACATTATATGATGGTCATAAAGACAACTCATCAGGATTTCCTCTCCTAAATCAGCTTTCAAAAAGATATAATCCAGATGAATTTTTGGGATGGTAAATGAAGAGACTACTAAAATRAATATAATTATTCTCTTGGAGTTCCTTATACATTGTAGTAGCTCTTCAAAGAATGAAAATTCTTGATGAGTTCCTGCATGAAGAATTTGTCCCATAGGTGAAGGTGTGCCTATTGAATTCCGTGTTGTTGTTAAAAATAAATATATATACATTTAATATGTTCTGCTGTTTAGATGCCCAACCTACAGAATCTGAAAAGGAAATTTATAATCAGGTGAATGTAGTGTTAAAGGATGCAGAAGGAATACTGGAAGACTTGCAGTCATATAGAGGAGCTGGCCATGAAATACGAGAGGTGAGCTAGAGYATTACAATTGTGCACAGCCTGTGGTTGTTCATTGTCTGATCCTAAYCAAATATTGCTGGGGTTTAACTTTGCTTGCAGGAGCTGTTTTGGCAGAGCATGTTTTCTATTAAAATCACTGTCTTGGATTTCTGCTCTGGAATGTTTCTTTTTAACAGCAAAACAGATGTTGCTTGTTTCAGTCATATTAATCCACATATGTAACAGCAAATGATGCTTCTCAGAGTTTGTAGGGAATTGTTTCTATTGAKTTTTCTTTGTATTTCCACATAAGCTTTTCTAGAGTTAATAGTGAATTTGGAAAGAGCTTGGTGTGACTGCAGTGCAATGCTCTTGTGTGGTAACTGGAGAAGCCTGGTGTGGTATTCCCAATGCAAAAGGCATCTCATTTTCAATCCCTTTTAATTAGATTTTTTTTTTTTACTAAAGTAGATGTTTGGAATAGAAGCAAAGTACAGAATGTCACTGCATTTTTTCTTTAAGCAAGGGTGGGATAAATATTCTCCCGACCCCCTTTTTTTCTTCCTCACATGCAGCAATGGGGTCTGCTTTGCTCCTGAGGAAGGAGTTACTGTGACATACCCTTAAGAAATACCATTAGATAGGAGGATCTCTGCTCACTCCAGATGAGTTGGAGATACTCAGAGCTGTTCAGCTTTGAGAGTTTTTCTCTCAATGGAATTCTACCTCTCCATAGGGTAGGTTTAAGGGTAGCTGTGTCACTTAAAAACCCTTAGGAGGGGAGGTAGCTTACTTGTTCTTCAAGGAAAGAGCATGTACAGGGACAGGCTGTAGGATCAGGGAGGAATGTGTGTCTGCAGATCTCATGGAGAAAGGAGAGCTACTTCTCTGAGAGGAGGTACACACGGCAGGAAGGAAACTTTCTAGGACCAGAGAGGAGTGTGCTGCATGTCACAGGGTTGATTGAAACACTTTTTGGAATCAAGGGCTTCACAGTGAAAATGCTGCAGGACAATAATGAGTTTTTTATTTCTGTTTTCTTAGTGTATTTTTAGGTGCTAAGTAGTCAAGATTCTGTTTTAAAAAGCTGGAGAGGTGGAATTTAAGGTATTATGTTCTGTGAAGTTTACTGCAAAGGCAAAGTCTGTACATATATCCCTCAAAGCTGTGATCTACACTATGTCCTGGTGGTGCTTTATGTTGTTGATTATGCTCTTAAATGTTCTTACTGTARTATATAGCCTGAATTCCACAGCAATTTTTTGTCTTTGCAAATTTGGGAATTTATAGTTACCAATATGAGAATGAGGCTGTGATCACTAATTTTTTTTTTTTTCTTGAAAAAACCACAGTAAAATTGTTAATTTTAATTAATTAGGTCTGGTTATGTAAATTTTCTTATCTGAGTAAYTTGATTTTTAACCATTTCTTTATACTCTCTCCAAGTTGTTTTCCTGTTCAGGTTACTTGCTTTCAACACAGTTATTTAGACCTTTTTGGAACAGACATGGGTTAGTACATGCTTGTCTCTCAACTGAAAACTTCTTAGTAGGTAGAGTTTTTAATTATTAGCTCTTCAAACAATTGTCCTGCATAGGTGTTTTGGGTTTTTGTGTTTTGTTGTTTGTTTGGGTTTTTTTGTCAGCAGTGCATTAGTTATTCCTAATCTAAGCATAATTTCCTCCTCTCTTTGTCTCATTGAAGGCAATACAGCATCCAAATGATGAGAAGCTACAAGAGAAGGCWTGGGGTGCAGTTGTTCCACTAGTAGGCAAACTAAAGAAATTCTATGAATTTTCTCAAAGACTAGGTAAGTRGAAAGGTGTTAACTAGGGGGTTTTKGTMTTCTTTRATTGTATATTTGATCACATCTAGGTCAACTCCTTAGTGTAAGAAAGCTCATATTGTATACATTCCTTCCATACACTGGATTGGATGACAAACTTGCTTCAGTGGATACCTGAGAAGAGAGAGAGAATGGGAGCATACTTACTACTCTTTCTCCACTCCTTTAGTAACTCTGGAAAGCAGTAACCAGCTGATCGACTGAAAATTAGTAGTTTAAATAATCAGCAATTAATTCTGTCAGTGTTTCTGATACCAAGAGTTCTTAAAAGAGACTGTATTATTCCTCCCTAAACACACAAATAATTTCATCTGTGGAAATGCCTGTTCTTGGTTCATACAAATGCAATACTTGAGATGGTGCTTCATGCCTCCTGTGAAGCCAACCTCACTGATGTGKCTAAGCTGACAGAACCTATTAGATTTGTTTTTTCACCAGCTTTCTGTTGTTTCCTCACTTTTAATCAAAATTATAACATGTCTTGTAAAAAATGTGTTCCAAACATGGGAAGGTTTTGCGTGCAAGTTCTGCTTTGTTAAATAGGTGAGGTATTTTTCTCAAGAAGATGAACAGGAARTTGGATTACAACTTTATCTTAAATAAGACATGACTTCTGCTTATGGTTACATGCCTCTTGAATTCTGTGCTCTCTTGAAGGCAGAAGTCTACTAACACAGGTCATTGAAACGTGTTTTACACAAATGTTGCAGACTAAGCTTGAGTAAAACCTTTCAAGAAATTTTTTTGTGGTTGTCAGTGCTGATGAGACATGGTCTGTAGAGCAGTTTGTAAGTAAATATGACAGCAGTGACACATAGGCATTTCATCAAGCCCCTTTGTTAATAATCACTGTGTGTTTTGGCAGATGTAGATTTTAAGTCTGACATGCAGAATATCAGCCATATTGATATTGAATATTGAAGCAAATGCAGCGGTAATTTGCAAAATGCTCTGGTGTCATTGCAGAGGCAGGACTGCGAGGCCTGCTGGGAGCCCTGACCAGCACTCCGTATTCCCCAACACAACACCTGGAGCGAGAGCAGGCTCTTGCTAAGCAATTTGCAGAAATTCTTCACTTTACACTCCGATTTGATGAACTCAAGGTAAAGAGTTTGTTGTCAGAAAGGCTAGAAAAGAAGCCATGTCTGTTTACTGGAGCAATCCTGGTTGTGTTCTGTTCTGGAGTAGAATGTGCAGTGGATATTCAAATATCCAATATGCTTGGCTTGCTCTCGTGACCTGGAGTTAGATTAAACTGGAAAGCAGATGAACTATCGTATTAGCTTTAGGCACTTGTTATATTTCAGTTCATATTAATCACATTTCTTCACTCAAATTTGGCCTATCTCTTGGGATAAGATTTTTACTTTGTGCACTCCCACAGTCCAGCTATTTGTTTGCTTATGTGCAAAGAACTAAGCTGAAATGACAATTAATTTGTTGGTCTGATCTTTGGAGTCAAATTAGCAAAGCAATTTTTTTCAATCTACTAATTTCCAACTTCTATTTAGAAGACTGCTCCTTTTCTCATTCCTGTTAGAGCTTGTTCTGAATATGAGAAACCAGAAAGCTTTATGGTGTGCTTACCAGTCCCCAGCAGGGGAACTTTTTGCTTCAGGAAGTTAAATATTTTCTTGTTGGGTGTATTATATTTTATGAAAACTTGTYCTTATTTTTCTTGAATTTGTCACAACTCTTTTGCTTCCATATCTACATAGATGACAAATCCTGCTATACAGAATGACTTCAGCTACTACAGAAGAACTCTGAGCCGTATGAGGATTAACAATGTCCCAGTAGGTAACCCTTGAATAAGATGAAGTGTAGTCTTCTGCTACCACCTTTCTTCTACRGAACAACTAAACCCTTTCTTCTGTTTTTAGGCAGAGGGAGAAAATGAAGTAAATAATGAGTTGGCAAACAGAATGTCTTTATTTTATGCTGAAGCGACGCCAATGTTGAAAACCTTAAGTGATGCCACAACAAAGTTTGTGTCAGAGGTAAGAATATGAATTTATGGCTTAGATAATGTGCTTCAGAGCACTGCAGGACCAGGTATAATGTACAACTTCCACCAGGCCTAATCTGGTGTCTAGAAATAAAACTCRAGGTTTGGAGGCTCATGAAATGTAATGTGACTTTCCCAGATGCTGTAGTTAGGGACTCCAGCCAGGCACTTTTTGGCTAATCCAAAAGTTAATGGATTTTATCAGATCAGTAGTGATAGCTTTCCCCAGAGGCGGAAGTAGGACAGGTGAGTATTTTGTCTGCACTGTGGTGGTGGTTTAGAGCAGAAATTTCAGAAAATTGGAAGAGCAAATAGCTTCATTCTCTGTGCTTGAAATAGGGAATGGAATTGAAATGTGGCTTCCTTGTCTCCTTCCCAAGACTCTTTTGCTATACTGTGTAAAGTCAAGTGCGCTACACTGTTGCAAAAGGGAGAAGGAACCTGAACTGGAAAAGTATTTCAATGTTTTGGCAAATCCCTGTTTATCCTTGACTATCTAAATAAATACTAGTGGTACTAAAAATCCAGTCCTACAACTGTTGTGCTCGCCCTCTGGTAACTGTGATAAGTTTTGGCTTACATGCAAAGAATGGGCACTATTTCTTAGTAAAAAGTAATTGTACATTACATGATTAATGCAAAGTTGCGTTTGTCTTTTAATGGTTTTTTTTTTCCTGAATTCTACTGTATGCTTTAAATGCCTTTACAAAGTTGTCCTCTTATTTACATTTCTTTGTGATGTTTATCTGCAACAATTTTAAGTTTTACTGTTACAGCAGATGAATATATTTGGCTACAGTAATTTTTCTCTTTGAAGGAGCAGGTTAGATAATTCCTTCAAAACTTTCCAAAAGTCAGTCATGTCAAGAGAGTAGTTATTTGACTACAAACAAGCAGGCAAAACCTATGTAGTAGCCTTTGCTCTGTAAATTGCTAATCTGTATGGTAACATTTAAGGAAAAAAGAACAAGAACACCTGACTTACCATAGTTGTGTTGATGTTTGTAATTGCTCCACGTTGCCATGAGGGCAGATAACTGATTTAATTCAGGTTTTGTAGCATAATATTTCACAGTAATTAAGTTGTGGAAACTGTACATCTTTTTTTGCAGAATAAAAATTTACCGATCGAGAATACAACAGATTGCTTAAGCACCATGGCCAGTGTGTGCAGGGTCATGCTGGAAACCCCGTGAGTACAAACAGTGCTTGGGCTGGCTATGAGTCTATTTCAGACCTGACTTGTGATGCATGAGGTGAAAGAAATATAATTGGGGCAATTAGGAMCTGTGGTGTTTTCTTTTTGCTAGCATAGTTGTTTACCTTGACATGAAACCACCTTGTCTCATTTTGCCAGCCATGCAAATCGTGTGGTCTACTTTTCTGAACATATTAATATTTAAAAATAGAATTGCTATGGAAGCCAGACAACCTTTTGGCACTCTTTATAAATGGTTTTCTCATGTATAATTCAGAGAAATAGACTATTTGAGCATGATTGCCTAGGGCCTCCTGAAAGAGGGGCTTTGGGCAATGCAGTGGATGGTGTGTCCTTGTGGGCTGGCCCGGATGATGGCTCTAACAAAATGACAGTGCTCCTCTCAGGGGAATTAAGAGACAACTTCTAGGCATAAAGGCAGTCAGTTGTCTGCTGCACATTTGAGAGGCACTGGGAGTTTGACCAAAGTCAGACTAAACTTTGGTTGCTGGTTTTTTTTTGGTTTTTTTTTAATATGTTTCTTCTGTGTACTAAATAGTTTTCTGTTGGTAAAATTACTTAAGCATGAGCTATGTCTTTTTAAATAAGTTTCTGTCCAAATACCACAGGACATTTGTTTTGGAGCACATTAATAGCTCCATCTTATCCTTCTTAGGAATGGACTGTTCAATTTAAGAAAGTGGTTAAATGTTCATTAGCCYGCCTTTTAGTTTTTTCTTCCTAAGTCAGAAGTTTGGGTGTTAGAAGGTGACAGGGAAAAGTGTAGGAAGCACTGGAAATGAAGTTAGTATGTATTGTTTTAAATGGTGTAGCACCAGGATCCTATTTTAGGTGTGAGAATTTTTATTAATCTTCAGGTAACTTTCTAAGCAGTCATCTGAATTTTGGCAGGTTATTGAAAGGAATTAAGAAAACTCAAAAGTTTGGGATTGGTGRATTTGGTTGRGTTGGTTTGTTTGTTTTGTCTCTGAGGACTTAGAATTTTTCTCTCTAATCTTATTTTGAGTGTTACTATGTACTGTCATCTTGTTTCATAGATAATAACCTGTGTTTTTGAATTGCAGTGAATATAGAAGCAGGTTTACAAATGAGGAAACAGTATCATTCTGTCTGAGGGTAATGGTGGGTGTCATCATACTCTATGACCACGTGCATCCAGTGGGCGCTTTTGCCAAAACTTCAAAAATTGATGTAAGTTTACTGTTGCTAAATAATCTGAGTATTTAAATTTTATGGAGGCTCCTTTTCTGTCTTCCAGGTTCTAGTAGCAGATGTATACRTTGGGTTGGTGCTAAACAGGTAGCTGTGAGCAAAAATATATATTTAAGTAGTGAGAAATAGAAGCTAGGCCTTCAGACATGTCAGTGGTCATTGTCAGGTCATGAAAAATCTGTTTTTATGGAATGCAGGTAGTGTCTAGAAATCCTTGTAAGCAGGGGTTGTGTTAAGGGATCCAGATTAGAACTGAAAGTAACAGCAGCACCTGGCTTGTTCCTCACTGACTGATAAATAGCTCAGTTCACCATCCACCTCTCCAAGTTTTTAACTTTCTGTTGTTCTTTATGGAATACATGCTGTTACTGTGTGTGATTTTGTGGTTATTTCAAAGGGAGTATTATCCCATTGTATTAATTACAGTTGGTCATTATTTCACTGGCTGAATGCAATGGATTTAAGATGAACATGTATTTTTGCTCACAGTTCCATTTATTTTTAAGGTTGATAAAGCAGAGCTGGACATGAAAGTTGCATTGTCTGAAGTTGTCATAGAATGGTTTGGGTTGGAAGAGACCTTAAAGATCCTGACCCAGTTGCAGGACCTTGCACTTGGACTTGTGCTTCATGAGGTTCCCAGGTCTCACATCTCCAGCCTGTCCAGGTCCCTCTGGTTGCCATCCCTCCCCTCCAGAGTGTCAGCCCCACCACRCACTTGGTGTCATCAGCAAAGTTGCTGAGGGTGACTTTGATGCAGCTTTTTAAGTAGCTAAGCCAGTCTGTCATAAGAAAATGTAATACTGAAATCTTAACTCCTTTCTGTTATCCAGAAAATGTCTTTATACTCCTGMTATTTTTAAATACTTATTTTTTCTCTTTGACAAGTGAAATATAAAAGGTTCCTGTAAACCCAGAAGGTATTAGCATGGAAAAAACTGTATTTTTTTAACTTCTAGATGAAAGGATGCATCAAAGTTCTTAAAGACCAGCCTCCTAACAGTGTAGAAGGCCTTCTAAATGCTCTCAGGTACTCCTTTTTGTTTCTTGGGTTTTTTTGATGTGAATTTTCATGAATTGTCCAGGGCACTTTCTTTACAGCAAAGTATTCAGTGACTGTTCAGGGRAAGGTGAATGTGATTATTGCAGGCTTTTCCTCCAATGTGTCTGGAGACAAGGATTTATGAAGAAGCTTCTGTATTTTAACAGAGTGGTGAACCTAAAGTTGTTCATTCTAAGATAACTTTTTGCATGCATTGCCTGCCTATAGGTTAAAAATAAGTCAGTATGGCATGGTAAGTAAATAGAAATTGTTTCTTTTCAGAAAAGAACTTCAGGCATGGGTCTATATGGTTTGCTGTAAAATAGATGAGAAAAGAATTTACTACATTAATTGGAGAAGTGAAGAAAAAATTAATAATTCAGTATATTAAAAAAACCTGCTAACTTGGGTCTTAAAGCTGTATCTGTAGTCAGTAAAGTGTTCATTGTGTGGGTGTCCAGCATGGGAGGAGTGGGAAAAAGTGCCAAAATGTGATAGGCAGATGAAGTCTTCGTTTTTGTCCTTACTTGGAAAAATATCACTACTTTGGTAACAGATAACTCCAACTGGATGTTGTTACTCATGCACTTGTATGGAATGTGGAAGCTTTAGTTTGTTGTGCCTGAAAATGTGCWGTTGTGTTTTATTTTTTCCTTATCTGTAGTGAAGCTGCTTTAATTTCATTTGCCCTGTTTTTATTTTTTTRTGTTATGATGTGGTAAGGAGTGAAATAATGTGGTATTGTACATGGGTTCTTTTGCAAAGTTGTTTCAGATTATTGGTTAAAATAAAAAAAAAATAGCCATGCCTAATTTGAAACTTCATAATTATTTCTATGCAAAAATCATGTTMATTTTCTGAACTTCATGAACATGATCAGTCATTGATCATGTTCATGGTGATGAGTAAAAACACAGCCTTCCACAGGGAAAATGCTTCACTATAATTTATTTTCTGACCAGTTTATTGTGATTGCAGCTATAATGACCAGTCTTTACTAGTGGCCCATTTTTTCCCCATTATTGTTGACACTGTCAAAGTAAATGGAAGGTGTAGTTCAGGTTCTCACTGCACTGAGCAGTGACATTAACTTTTGTTTAATTACACAACCACAATTAACTTTATGTAAATCCAGTCCATGCTCTCAAGCTGTTCTTCCCCTGCACCAACCCCTTCCATTCATGGATGCTGTACAGTCCTGCTTTTGTACTTTTGATTACTCATCTGGGYAGGATATTTAATCTCTTCTAAACATTTGGAATGGTTTAGAAGAGATGCAGAGGTGAGCTGCTCTGTGCTTGTGTGACAAAACAGRTTCAAGATGTTGTTGTGACAAATTAAGTCCAAATCTAAGTCTTTGATTCTGGAGGAGTGAGAAGTTCTTGCATTCTCCCAAGTGATCATGTGTTTCAAAAACAAATGGAAGGTGGTATGGATTTTGGAGGGACATCATCTGTTTGTAATTTCAAATTCCTCTGAATATTGTAATCATGTTCAGCTTTATCACATGGGCAGAATACCAAGTGTAACAAGTTTTCAGGATTTCAGAAAACCTTAGGCTGCTTGTTTGTTGATAGTATAATTACCAAAATGTGCTGATATCTACAATGTTACTTACTTCSAAACTAAAAAGTCATTATATATTTATCAAGTGAACAAGTAAAACAGTACTGCAGTTGTGGATAACAGTGAAAGTGCTAATTGAACATGTTAAATTTAAATTACAAAATAAGTTTCATTTGCTTTTAGATTAATTAGGAAGGAAGATCAGGGAAATTAATCATACRAGGTTGCCTGTATTGAGCACATACAGCACTCCCTTTTAAAAACAGAGATAACTATGTTTTTTATAGTGATTTAAAAGCCTGTTATTGTCCTAGAGAATTTTGAAAGGGGAAGGGACTAAAATAAGCACGTGTGCTTCTCTGTAGTTTTAKCAGCACAGTCACTTAACTAACCAGGAAATTAAGCTGAAAAGTGATTAAATCTATTGTTGTTCAGGGATCACAGGAAGGTTTAGTAAGTAGAAGTTTTGAAGAAGAGTTTCTCAAACAGTTTGATTTGAAGATGCTTCCTGTGGGCAGAGCCCTCAKAGTTAATCTGATGAATAATTACCCATCACAGAATATCTCATTTGTCTTTTTGGTAACCAWGGAGTGGATGATGATCCATGGCCGAGGGTTTTGCTCTGGTCCAGTGAGGTTGAGCCATAAACAGCCATAAACAAAGAAATTAYACATTTGTTGAGCTGAAGTACAATAGCATCTATGCTCATCTTGACTTTATTTCTGTGTTTAGGTACACAACAAAGCATTTGAATGATGAGACTACCTCCAAGCAAATTAAATCCATGTTGCAATAACAATTACCTGGAATTCGCACCTGCTGTAGACAGTATTCTGCAATGACTGAGATGCACAGATTTTTTTTTTTAGTGATTGCAACTACTATCTYGTTCCTTCTTGCTTTTTATTTTCTCTCTTCCTGTTTACCCTTTTTTTTAATCACTTTCTTGTACCTAAGTAAGCTCAGACTTCTTTTCTGTGCCAAATCAATGAAAATTATCAATTCTGGAAAGTATTTCTACTTTTCAGAATAGCCATCCTAAGTGGCAGCTAATTATGCGTTGCATTTGGATTTCTCTGTACTGGGGAAAGATTTGTGACTTGAACTAAATATTTTTAAACTTGTGGTTTTTTTCTTTTTTTGAAAAACTAATATTTAATATTGCTTCTTCTGCATGGCAAGACTGCCTATTTCTGCTATTTAAAAATCCCTTGATGACTTCATTTTCTATTGCAGCTTATTTTCATGTGCAACCATGAGGAAACTAAAAGCAGATTTGTTTAAATTAACTGTGTTTGTACAAAATGGTACCCAACACAAAAGTTTTTTTAAATGAGTAAAAACTGTTTTGTTTAAAAGTTACGTTTGCATTTTGACTCATTTTTGTAAGGATGTATGTTGTATGTTTAACCTTTAATAACTAACGTTAAACTGTGGTGTGTGCGTAGCAAAATTACGTATGCATGTTCATGTCAAATGATTGGCTGTGGATAAGATAATAAAATCAGCTTTCATTTTTCTAAGTGTGGTTTGATTTACCAGTATTTTGAGTGAGATGTCTTCGTGCTCTTTGGATTTTTACAAAAAAATAAATTTATAAATTTTATATAGTGAAAACTCTGCTGTTTCATTACCAGTACCCAGTTGCCAAATCCACTGATGTAAGCRTAGTGTATTTTAGGGTTCTTGCTCTCCACTCTGTGCTGCTTCTCTGTGCCCAGAATTATTACTCAGGTAGGATTTGTGGTGAGGATCCTGGTGCAATCCATAGAGGTCCCAGTGGACATTGCTGAAGTACCTGTACCTACCTACCCATGGAGACAACTCAGTGCAGCCATCACCAGTGACAATGCAGATGAGGCCTTTTCTGTGCCAGTGGTGGGAGATGAACTTCCCTCGCTCTGCACTGGTGTGTGCTGTTATAGATCTACGTATCTGAACTGTGTAAAATCTGAAGAATCACAGCTTACTAAATAATGTTTCTTTGGGTAGCAATTTATAGCAACAAGTCTTAATAGGTTGGTGAAGAAATCAAAGCTCTTTTGGAAGGGAAAGGATTGCAGGGGAAAATGTAGAGCCCTTGCAAAGGACCTCAGCAGGCTGGAGAGATGGGCAGAGAGGAACTGTCTGAATTCAGYCAAACAAATGCAGGGTCCTGCACCTGAGGTGCAACAACCCCCAGCACCACGACAGGCTGGGGGCTGACCTGCTGGAATGCAGCTCGGGGAGAAGGTCCTGGAGGTCTTGGTGGACAACGAGCTGTCCATGAGCCAGCAGTGCCCTGGGGGCCAAGGAGGCCAATGGTGTCCTGGGGTGCATCAGGAGGAGCATTCCAGCAGCTCAGGGTGGTGATCCTGCCCCTCTGCTCAGACCTGTGAGGCCTCATCTGGGGTGCTCTGCCAGCTCCTGGGCTCCTCAGTACAAGGCACGTGTGGAGCTCCTGGGCTGGGTCCAGCTTAGGGACTGGAGCATCTCATACGAGGAAAGGCTGAGGGAGCTGGGCTTGTTCAGCCTYGAGAAGAGAAAATGGAGAGGAGACCTCATCAATGTCTGTCAGTGTTTGCAGGGAGGGGTCAGAGGATGGAGCAGACTCTGCTCAGTGGTGCCCAGCAATGGGACAAGAGGCAACGGACACAAACTGATGCACAGGAAGTTCCACCTGAGCATGAGGAAGAACTTCTTCACTGTGTRGGTAACTGAGCACTGGAACAGATTGTCCAGAGAGGTGTGGAGTCTCCCTCACTGGAAATACTCAGGAATTGYCTGGACATGATCCTGTGCCAGGTGCTTTGGGATGACACTGCTTGACAGGGAGTTGGACCAGATGATGCACTGTGGTCCCTTCCAGCCTGATCCATTCTGGGAGTCTGTGGAAACAAGGATTGAGAATGACTAGAGAATTCTAGGAACTGGCATGTTTTGTCTTGATGGTAAATATTAGTGCTCCTTGTGTCTGGTGCCATTGTGATTATGCCTAACATGAGTTGTCAGTGTTTTGGAAAGTAGATTTAAAACCTGCAAGCATGAACCCCTCAGCTTTGTTTGGTGGATGTAATATTTCCTAACTTTGCATAGCTGCTGGCTGCAGGTAGACTGCATCAGTGTGACCATGCTGGATTTCCTGTGGATACCCCATCTGCACAGTTTGTTTGTTTGTTTTGGAAACAATAGATCTGCAAAACTATAAATCATGAAGACTTTGAAGGAGGTTCAAGGATGTATTGTGGGYGTCTATATGTCCATCTCTGTTAGACAGGGCAAAACATTTTTTCTTTATGGCCAAAGGTGCTTAGCTGAGGTCTCCGCAACAGGGAAACCCAACCCATGTGCTTTGCTGGCCACAGGAATAAAACACCCCTATTTGATATGATACTACTTTAGTCCTTTTGGCAATATCACAGTTGAATCAAGCTGAGAAAAGACAAAACTGGATTTGTTTGGGGTTTTTAAAAAGGAAAAAACTTCCCCGCAATAGTGTGAATGTTACAAACTGTATACAGCCAAACCTTCTGCATGGATCTGAAAAGGGAACTGCCCTCATCATTTCATCACCATGAGGAAAAAATGATAATTTAGTGTTGGCCTTGTTGCTGTGAATATAGCTAAGGAATAATAATCCCAGGAGGAGCAAATCATGTTCCTGTCCAGGGTTATTTTTCGGAAGTAAAGCTTTCTAAAGGAAACCTAATTTACAGAGGAGAGGTTTTAAACACAACTTTTGTACTTGACAGTTTTTACTTCTCATCTTATTGAAAAACGCTTGAAACAGTAAATCAGGCCTGAGTGAAAGAGAAATCCGGCCATACAGCAGATTTCTTCTTTGTTTTGCCTCAGTGACTGCTGACTAAAACAACACAATTTCTTCAGTTGACTGTTTTGGACAGCGCTTCCTTTCTGCTGCCCTGACGGCATCTTTGCTTTTAAACATCGTTGTTCTTGTGGTCTGACAATAATTGGAGCTTTCCTTTTTTCCCTCTGGCATTTGTTTTGCAGTTTCTCTGTGTACGCAGCTGGAACAGGAGATTAGGGCTGGCTTGCCTTGGAGTTGGCTGGCCCACAGCTCCATGAGCTTCCCCACTCACGAGCTTTCCAAGAAAACAAACTCTTCCAATGCACCAGGCATCAGCTGTCTGCAGTTCTGGGCTGAAACTGCTGTGTGCTCCTGCTCAAGCTTTGGTGGTTGTTCCTTGCAAAACCACTCTTTTCTTTTTTACTGTTTTGTTTTATCTGTGCTGGTGGACAGGAGAGCGCTGGCGGGCCCAGCACTAAGCACTAGGCCACGAAACAGCCTCTATGTAAGTTCTGGGGAAAAGTTTGCTCTTTTTGGATGGCACCGCCCTGTTGTGTGTGATAGCCTGTAATTTTGGGCTGGCTGGCACTCCATGGTTAAAATAAATGCTATGCTCAAATGAGCCACCCTCCCTGTGCTGTGAGCGGGTGTAACCAGCCTGTAGCTGCTGTGGGCAAAAGGCTTTCTCCTTGTGGTGCTGTATCTCTGTAAACACCACTGCTCCTTTCTGTTCTCAGATTCCAGGCACAGATGGGTGTCTGAGTGGAACATCTACAGGGGTGTGTGTGCTGTGTGTCAGAGACCATGAGGAGGCTGCATGGCTGGCAGYGTGTGCCATCCCCAAGCTCTGGAATGGTTCTGCAGTGCTTTAGTACCAGCCTGCTTGAGTGGTGTTGGTTTTGGTTCTTTAAATTTCAGATAGAAAGTAAATTATGGAAATACCTCTCCTTTAAAAAATGTCCTTTCCTGTCCATATCCTCTTTTAATAAACCACATTGGGGTTTCACTTTGCCGGAAATGCTGCCTATTTCTGTGTAGTTTTATTATGATTGGAGCAGGTCTGGAGTGGAGGACCCTGAAATGGCCTTGTTGCTGGTGGACACGGAGCATTCCTGTACAAACATCTCATTCTGGATGAACTGTCCTCTGGCTGCTTTCTCCTGGTTTGCAAGGCCAATGCCAGTGAGTCTTTTGCAACAGGGATGTGATTTTTCCTCAGGCTGCTGCTTCACTRGAAGGTTGCTCATCTTTCTTTTCTTTGGGTTTGCTAAGCTGAGTGTTGTTTTTCTGTCCCTGCAAAGACTTGTAAATTAACTAACAAGGAGTAGTTAATGCAGTTGTGGGTTTATAGTTAGTTACAGCATTTCAGAAGTGTGTCAGTAGGAAGTTCACTCTGATGTACCCTGGGYGCTACAGATCTGTAGTCACAAGTCCTGTTGGATGCAGGAGCCATCCTTKAGGGTGCCTTTTTTGGCAGTGATGATGAGGTTGCTTGTTTCTCAAAATACTGAGAAAGGACTCTGAAGCAGTTTCTTTTATCAAAACAGAAAACAATATGTAAATTACCAAGCTATTTGCTGTTTCTTGCCCTTTTGCTCTTTTTACTGGTCCAAGGAAAGTTTTTTGAGCACTTCTTCCAAGCCCAGTGTAATGTCTGCAGGCAGATCAGCAGTAGCAGCTCAGGGGCAGTGGAGCAAGGACTAAAGCAATCCTGGCACAAAATTCATGGTATCAATCTGCATATGAATTTTGTAATGAATTGCTGTCACATAGGATATTTAAAAACTGGATTATTGCAACCAACTTGGTGGCCTGGATCCAGCACAGGGATCTGCTTCCCCCTGTGCTAATGACCCTTTCAGGCTGGTCTCATCCCTCGGAGTTATCACTGTGATAAGGTGCCTGGATGGGGTTACTCCTGCTGTCAAGGTTACAGCAAAGGGCTGGTGAGCAAATTTAGCCAGGAATGAGCTGACCCTGTCTCTTACATGCTGTGGACTCTGTTACAGTTCAAGCAGTGCAAAGTAGCCCTTTGTGAGGTTGTTTTGGAGCAATGGGGAAGTTTCTGATTTGCTTCAGGAGTGTTTCATGTTTCAAGGTTTGGCCAAGTGGTAGAATTGAGTTTTCTCAAGGGAATCCRCCAAATTAAGCACCGCTCTTCCTGATCTTCCAAACACAGACAGGAATACCTGTGCTGCAGAAAGATGTCAGGTAAACACTGCTGAATCAAGCACTTGAACCTTTGGATGTTTTATTGTGTGGATTCACGGCTGTAATTATTTTACCMGCAAATGCTTGAGCGTGTGGTAGGCTGGTAACAAGTTCCACAGACTCGGTGTGTCGTGAGCATGTTTCTGAGGTTGCCCTTGTATGTGAGTGGTCCTGGACCTCCCAGGGCCACGCTTACTTGCAGCCTTTCCTTGGTTGCCCTGCTCAGTCCTGTCTGTGTTTCRCAGCTCCAGTTTCACCCAAGCCCCTTTATCTTTCTTTTGAAAGCTTTCCTYTTACCTGTCTTATAAATGGAAGTGTTGGTGCTGTCAGGTGTCTTCCATGTGCTTCTGAGAAATGGCTG